CTACCGGCCACGATAACACAAATAACAGGCCCCCCGTTGTACCGATTGGAAACGACGGACAGCAGAACCTGGAAATGGCATATAGACCAACTACGGTCTCGAAACCTCGAACACAACACCGACAAACCCCGCAACATAGAACAAGGCCATACACAACAACCAACAAGTAATAATTAAACCAGAGAGGGGGGGAAACCTTTAAATAATAAAGAAAGGGAAGACCCTCCCTTAACATGATTAAAAACAGGCCACCAAACATCAACAGAAAGCCCAAAGACAAATAAAAACTACTTACCAGCAGACGACTTTGAAAGAAGGAAGCTGGAGGAGAACCAGGGGAGAAGCAGCCAAACCGAGTCTACCTGCCCGGGTAAACCAGGAGGGAATGGCAAAGCCCACCCAACTGACCTAACAAGGACCGGCGAGAGTGGCATGGCTGACTCACCCTTCCAAGAGGTTCCAGAGAGAAGGATGGGAGGAACATCGATCCCGTCTGACCAATTGGAGACAACACAGAGACTGAGCTGTGCAGGTCAACTAGGACCCACAAAAGCCCCGCCTATTTGTGTGTCTACATCACGTAAGTTGGACTGTACCAAGAGGGGAGGGGTGTTGTATATAGACATTTACATACTCGAAATACTACCCTCCAATTGGACAACAAATACCGCCTAGCGATTGGTGGTTAACAATGTACAATGTACAACAATGTACAGCAGGAGGTTTAAAATGATGCCATTGGTTGTGAACCATGAGCAGCGCTATAAAAGAGGCTGCCGCGGCTTGGGTTTAGTTGAATTTTACTGACTGTAAATAAAGGGCTGTTTTCAACTCCGGTCTCCAGCCTGCTTTGTTCTGGTGATAGAACAGTTTCAAAACCCTGAAAATCCTCAAGTCCAGAAGATATAAGGTAGAAAAAAATAGTATCTAGGGAGCTATGAATTGATTTTTGCAGCTGTATTCTAAGACATTATTTGGCAATACAAATAAATTGGAAGCCAAAAATCTTAAGAATCAGGAGCATATTACAAAAAGTATAAAGCTAGGTGGCATAATGGCTTGCAGTATTGACTGTGGAAAATGCTAATTTATGTTGGAAATCAGAATATCTCAAATTGTAGATTGTAAAGTGAATTGCCCATATGACAATCATAACCCCTTTCTGATAGGACAGGAAAATTAAACATAGCAAGTGCTAGAACTGCTTTCCCAGTTCATATAAAATGCTGAAGTAGAATTTGAAAGCAGCAGCCAAGCATAAATGTAAACCAGATGATTAATTCATATTTCCATTATCTATAACAAATATAGTCATCATTTTTCCTAAAAATGAGAGTTCCCACATTTCCAATTATATTCAATAATTGTCCAAAAACAAGTAGACTTTCCCTGCGTTTGGAAATTCTGACAAGTGTTCATTACATTTTGAATGCAAGGTCTTTTGTCTGAACTGCATATGTGGAAACATTCCTTAAGATATAGCACCATGAACTAAGAATGCCATGTGTTGAATCATTGCTGATCAAAAGAAAGTCATAAGAAGTTACATAAAGGTCTGGTCAGCAATAGTCTAAAATCCACATTTTGTCATATATATGACATGAGTGGCCATAAATGAATAAATAACTGGCGGAAGTTTAATTCTTACACAAAGTTGTCTATGAAGATACTCAGTCATCCAGGTCATGGTTGTCCCAAAGGTGCTTTTTTAAAAAAGCAACTGGATTTTCTTTGTTTTTCTTTGAAGACATTTCACTTCTCTTCCAAGAAGCTTCTTTAGTTCTAAGCTTTTTGGATTAGACGCAAAAAATCTTCAAAGAAAAACAAAGAAAGTCCAGTTGCCTTTTGAAAAAGCACCTTTAGGTCCAACATAAAGAATATTCAAACAATGGCTGTTGTTATAATAACATATGAAGTGGTGGCCTGCAAATTTTTTGACAATCGGTTCTCTGGCTGGGTAGGTATGGCTGGTTGGTCATGTGACTGGATGGGTGATGTCACTCATTACACCCAGCCCTGCCTCCTGGTCACTGGCCTCAAAGGGAGAGGTAAGATTCAGCCAATTTAGGCTAATCCCACCATTGGCTGGCCCCGCCCACTTATAAGACTGTTTTTTGTCCATTTTCAGGGCATTTTGGGGGCATTTTCAGGCTTTTTGAGCTGTTGACCATATTTATGTTGTTTTGTCCCAGAAAATGTCCTGAAAAACAGGCAAAAAATCCCAAAACTGGACTGAAATGACACAAAAATTGGCCTGAAAATGCCCCCCAAAATGGGCCATTTTGGGGTCATTTTCAGGCTGTTTTGGGGAGCATTTTCAGGCCACTTTGGGGCTGTTTTCAGGATGGTTTTGGCCCAAAAAACAGCCTGAAAATGGTCCCCAAAACAGGTCGAAAAACAGGTGAGGGCAGGGCCAGCCACTGGTGGGATTTGCCGAATCTTAACTACCAGTCTGCCAGAACCAGTGTTAACCGGCAGCAGCCCACCTCTGAACTTATGTATATGGGTTACATTGTTGGGGTTGTATTTGATCGGCATCAAATGACTATTAAGTGACTACCAGATAATCTGCCAGAAGTTTTTAGTATCCACAATAGTAAGGTAGGATTTTAGAACTAATCATTTCAGTCCTTTTAAGGTAATATTAATGAATAGAAAGACAGGATTGGAATTTGCACATCTCCTGGACCATTGGACATAATAGTTAATATGCAGTAAAGTTCAGTTTGATGGTTTTATATTTCCATGCTATGCAAAGAAATTAGCTGATTATGCTTTTTAAATCAAAGATAAAGAAAGAATATGTTCAATACATCTGAGCCGTGGTGGCTTAGTGATTACAATGCAGTATATAATGCAGAATGCAGTATTGCAGGCTACGTCAGGTGACGGCTGGCTGCCTGCAATTTGGCAGTTTGAATCTCACCAGGCTCAAGGTTGACGCAACCTTCCATCCTTCTGAGGCTGGTAAAACGAGCACCCAGATTGTTGGGGGCAATATGATGACTCTGAAAATCACTTAGAGAGGGCTGTAAAGCAGTATATAATTCCAAGTGCTGTTTCTAACACTCATTTTACTTTGTTGGTATATTCACACTTCAGAATTAAGCTGGTACTGAGTACAAGAAGACCAGTAATGCTTGACTTTTTTCCATGTGTTTTCCAGGATTTTATGAGAATCCAATATACCTGAATGAGGTTTGTGAACTTCTTATACAGCATCTTGTATTTCATTCATATTGGCTTATTTTAACTTTGGTTATGGAGTTATTTTCATATTGGGATTTTTGTATGTGTCTATATGACTTTTACTAATTACCCAGAGTTATGTATTTAAGATGGGCAGTCATATGAATTTTCTACTGCAAAATATGAGAACAGTATAATTAATATCTTATATTGATTGCAAGTGGAGTGACAGGAGAGCCCAGTAACAGCAACTCTTATAATACTATGGTGATCAGACAACAATAAAAGCAGCGGTACTAAGGTATGCTTCAGACAGAGGCACTGAAGTCCTAACTGTACCCCATAATTGGCTTCTACTCCAATGACCAAGATAGTCAAGGCAGCTATGGTTAAAGATGGGGAAAAAGAGATAAAAAGTTTTTCCACACTATGTAATTAGGAGAAAAGCCAAGTCTGAACTTAAGTCTGTTCACTGTTAGCAGTTATAGTCTATCAAAGACTGCCTGCAGGAGAAAACAGAAACAATAAGAGGTCTATAAAACATTATAAAAATACTATATATCTATTTTCATATGTAAAATGGCATATGATGCCATAGTGATAAAAATTAAAACAATAGGACAAAAATACCACAATAAATATCACGAAAGTCTGATCTTCTCAGACTTTCCACATTCCATAAGGACCTACCACTTAATCTGACCCAAGACCTTGGACAATAGTCATGTTTTAAGGACCTGTTTGAATCTAGCATTGTTCTAGGGTAGGAACAATGCAAATCTCTGGAGAATTCTCAGTTTCTAGGGAACATAAAACAAACAAACAAATATAAAAATACTATATTGCAAAAGAAGTTATAAATTAATTACTATGTTGGTAGTTTCATGTTTGAGTCAGAGAGTAAAAACTGTAAAGATTATTCGCTCTTCTAAGTGCATTTAGTAAAAGAAAGACTAGGATGCCTTTTCAGAGATCCTCATATAAATTACAATAAACAATAAAGGGCAAATATATTTGGATAATGGGATATTGACATACCTGCCAAATAACATCAAGCCCTGAAAAATCCTTTACTTAAACTAGAGAAATTAAGTGTATACAAATATCTCTCTGGTTCTGTAACTAGTATCCTGGCATAACATAGAGGTTCTGAGAGAATGAGTAGATTTTAAGCTATTTAATGTCATCTTTGAATTTTTCTTAAGTCCCTATTTTTAAGAACATGTAGCAGAAGGTAAAAGAATTCTGCTGGTACCTAAGATAGAAAAACCAAAGCAGCAGCTAATATCTTTAATTAACAAATTGGAAGTATTTTACAATACTAGCAAGAATCATTGCATTTATGGCCCATACTTATTATAATTATTCAATGTCATACTAGTATACATCTTGTAGAACTTACCTAGTTTCCCTAGTTTTTAAATTCTACAAAACAAGTAGCAGTATAGAGGATACAAAAGAATACAAAAATAAACTCCACCCGCACCCCCCAAAAAGACAGTCTTGAAAAACATCCCTGTAGTATTCGAGGTGAGTTATAGGAACAAACCATTTCTTAAAAATATAGTGTAAATACCAGCCAACAACTGTTCTTATTTCTTAAACCACTGTCTTTTCACAGTTCTTCATATTTGACTTTCTGCATAGAATGCAAGAGAATGCAAGATGACATCAAATAAAAGATTCTTTACCCTCTGAATGATTCCAATATTTGCATTATTGCATACAATTTTATATTCATCCCAAAATAAGATAAATATTTAGGCCATTCTTTCCAGAGTTCCAATCTGCAAGTAAAGTTTAGAACTAACCTTGCTGTCTTGCGTATCCTTGCCTTTTCCCGGAAGTGCTTTTACTTCTCCAAAATCAGAGGTTGACTCTAACATAATCTGACAAGAAATCATTGAGTTCTCAGTCCTGGAAAGCTCCAGAGATTTTGATAAATACTGCTGTGACCCGCTTGTGCCAAAATTTGGGATTGTATGGACAGTATCAGCAGGCTGTGACCCTACAGATCCGTGCCTTAGCTTTGCGGCAACACCAAACACAGGCATGGCTTTTATAAATGTCTCTGCTTTCTGCCAAGAAGAAAATTGCTTCTGACCTCAGTCTTGTAGACTTTAGCTTCAATACGTTCCAGAACAAATGCTTTAAGCAAAAATGGCAGTCATCTTTTGAAACTTTTAAAAATAAGGTAAAAGATCTTTTTGTTCATCTCTATTCTTGCTCTTCCACACAAATCAGACTGACTGAGTCAGTGGCTGTGTCTGACTAACCATTTGGAGTGTGAACTTTTCTTGAATGTAACTGCTGCAAAGCCGCATGTCTGGGATTAAAGAACTCATAAATTTTCTGTTTCATCTACTTACACTATTACATGGCTATGCACTAATCAAAAGAATGAAAAAGAAACAGTGAGAGTGAGAGTAAGAAAAGTATTATTAGATACTATCTAACACTGCTGAATCTACATTAGAATTGCAGACCTCTTCCTGGTTATAAAAATGACCAACCCACATTTTAAAAAAATCATTTTGAAAGATTTTAAAAAAGCCAGTGCAGTGCTAAAGCAAACAGCTGTTTTTAGTGTTTTTAGCTGGAGATAATCAGTGTAATGAAGCTATTTGTCCTGTTCACAGCAATATTTCTCTAGTGACATCCATAAACTACAACATTCATTCCTTCTTTCTCCCATAAAATCAGATTAAATACATTGAAGCCAGCACTGAAAATAAATTCCAGCATTGATAATGTCTACTTCTGTTATTATGAACCCATTTAAATATAACACTAAGGTAAAGAATGCTTCCTTGTTATATTCTGTCCAAATTATATTTCAAAATACTATACTTATTCTGGATTTCATTATAAATAATGAAAAATGTAGTTATCAATAGTTTAGTATTTAATATGTGGAGGAATACCTTGATCAAAACTAATAAACATTATAACAACTGTAATCCGCATTAGTTTTATTTTGATATTGTCTACTATTAAAACTATTAAATATTTATGTGCTATAAAAAGATTTACAAATAATAATATAGGTAGTCCTCAACTTACAGCCATTTGTTTAGTGACTGTTCAAAGTAATAACATCACTGAAAAAATGACATGATCTTTTCTCACGCTTACAACTGTTGCAGCATCCCCATAGTCATGTGATCAAAATTTAGGCAATTGGTAACTGGCACATATTTATGGTATACTGTCCCAGGGTCATGCAATCGCCGTTTTTTAACATTTCCAGCTGGCTTCCAACAAGCAAAGTCAATGGAGGAATCCAGACTCACTGAACATAACTCACTTAATTCACTATATAACAACTACAGAGATTTACTTAAAAAGCATGACAAGAAAGTTATAAAATGGGCATAATTCACTTAACAACAGAAATGTTGGGCTTAATTGTGGTCAAAAGTTGAGGACTGCCTACAATAATAATAACATTAAAACTATCTACACATTACCAAGCAATACTATATTCCCTATATGGTCAACAAATACAACATAAGGATTCTAGAAATATAAATCTACATATATATATATGTATAAATGAAGTTGTATATTCTTGCAGTGATGTTATTATGCAAGTGCACAATTAAAATAACACATATGGCTGACTTAAAGAAAATTTGGGCTCAAAGTCTCAGAAGATCTAACGTTGCCAAATATTCTCTGTTCATGCATATATGAACTCAAACAAGTGTCAGAATTATGGATCTTTTCCAGAAATGTAGTATGCACATAGCAGTTGTATGCTTTGGGGATTTCAGTAATTTGGAGAATAGCAAATTCCTAATTTTAATTGAGGAGTAATGAAATTAAATAGCCATGTAGATTAACAAAAAAAATATGAATAATTCCACAAAACTATTGTTCAAATTCAAAAAGGCAAAGTTTTAATTTATGTACACAGCCAGAATCAATTACAAAAATGGCTAGGCGAATATTCCCATTACTGCATATAAACTCTAACAGTACATATAATCATTCTAAACATAGATAAAGAAAGAAGAGTAGATTTCTATACATTAAGAAGAATCTGAGCACTGAATTTTTTTAAAAGGATACATGCAAATAAAATGAGCTTATTCTATTTCAACAAAAGGAAGAGACAAAAATGTTTGCTTTTAGTTTAGCCTAAATGGTTCCACCTAACTCTTTGATGCTGTGATCCTATAGGTTCATAATATAGCTCTTCCATTGTGGAATATTATGTGGAATATTGTGGAATATTACCCACAGCATTATTCCACGCCTTGGGTTTCAGGGGATAGGAAAGTTGGCCACTTTGACCAGAGAATTAGATCAAATTGAGAAATCAGTTTGCACAACTTTTTCAGGTATAAGTGCCATTTCAAGGAGCTGTATTGAAACTGGCCAAGAACAGGACATTGAGTGTTTTATACCTTGATATACCTCAAAGGAATGAGCATGAATCAGATTTTCATTGTGAGAACTAATAGCTACAAAATGAGAATGAGAAGCTTGGCTAGCCATCTCGTTGCTTAGAATATGAAGTACAAAGCAGCTGAGATATATCAGTATAAGTAGATGATCAGAATGCAGGCAGTAGGCTGAACATGCACACTTTCAACTAAAGCTTTGAAACAGAAATTAAGAAAACTGGGAATCAAAAATCTAATCAAAATCATATTACATGGGTCAATAAACTTCTAACAGCTTTAATCAGTACGTTCCCTGAACTCACAGGCACACAAAGCAAATGCTAAAACAGCCGAGTTGTAACATTTCTACTTTGAGACTTTTTTCTAAACCCTGCTATAATTTGGGTGGTATGTTTCAAATTATGTAGGACTGCACAATCATTTGCATCAGGACTTTATTTAAAATGTTAAATTAAGTAATTTGCTTTTGTAAGGGGAATGGATGAAGTGAACTTTCCAATTGCAAACAAAAGACATTTTTTTCTTTTGTTGATCAGTAATTAATGATAAATGAATGTTTGAATTTAAAAATATAATCTCACTAAGACTTGAGTGAGATGGCTAGTTTAAAAGTAAATAGATTTAATATAATGAAGACTGCAGTTTCATAAAAGACTAGTTAATGCATGTTCTACTCTTATTTCTAAGAGATGTCATATTATATGCTTGATTAGCTGGTCAATATTTGATTAGATTTCTGAAACTTTATCTAGAAGTATTTCCAGACCCTGCAATATTTCCTGAGAATCAGATTGGTGTTATTTCTTGGAACATCTTTCCCATTTTTTTTAATCCCTCTTTCCCTATTGCCTCACTTTTTTTGCTGTTAGCACCTTATTTCTCTCTTTCATCTCCATCAAACATGTTCTTTTGCATCTTCTGAAGTTTTCACAGAAATAGGTCTAATTTACTTTTGAAAATAAGTTTGATTACTTTTTTTATTGTTTTCAAAATAAATATCTCTTTTATTTGAATGAAGAACAGGTGTTTCCAAAGGGAATATTATTACTTTGTAACATTTACTGAATTGCCCTTTTAATCTTATTGTTTATTATCCAATCCTTCAAATATTACCAGTAGGATTCATCTATTATGTTGATATGTAGTGTGCTCTGTACAAAAATGTTTCAATATTTTATTATTGTGATTTAGCAACCTAAAAATAGAACTAGTCATAGGCAGTACAAAAAAATAAACATTTTCAATACAAAGTGCTAAACTCAAATATTAGGTCTATCTTCAACACATCACTTATACACTTTCCTCTGACAATTGCTTTACCATATTTACATTTAGAGTAATTTGCCACTGGGAAATTCTCAATCAATTTATGAAGTAAGATTATCTAGATACTTTAATGCAGTCTCAGCATTGTATTAAATCTCACAATTTTATCACTTCCATGCAAACTAAAATGGATTAAAATGCCACCTAGTAGTAGAAGTTAGAAAATTGCTGGTTTGTGTTTGTATTTCTTTCAGCTTTGATTGAATTTTTTTACACTTATTCTTTTTGTAATTGTTATCATTTTTATTACAAAAAACATGATGTCCAATTTAATGAAATTATGCCTTTAAGAGCCTCAGTATATGCAACAGTCACAACATGATATGCATAATCAGAGATTAACATATCAAGAATATCTTAACAAGACACCAAGCTTCATGAATATGAGACATTTTTTACCCTCCCTATATCCATAATACAGAAAAAGCTTTCTTTGACAAAGTAACTAATATTGAAGAGTCCATGATTTTTAGAAATACATAAGTAAGAATGTTTGAAGATCTGAGTCTGAAAAGGGTTCTGCTGGCCGTTATCCAAAAATCTGAAAGGCTGCAAATTAACACATACATCTTTAATTATCTTGGAGAAAACTTATTTCACGCTGATAAATTTTTGTTACTGTGGGTTAGTTTAAGATGTTCAGAATCATAACTATGTTAACATTTGTTTCTGGACTATAGTTCACAAAATTGTTCCATAAGGTTTCATTCATATTCAAAAGAAAGAAAGATAGAAACATCTGTTGCAGTCATGAATGCAGTCTTAGCCAAGTTTGGCAACAGCACTTAAATATTTTGAAGACAATCAGCTTTGCTATCAACAGCAGTTAAATCTAACTGTCAATGGAAATTCCAGTGCAGAAAGTTTGCAAGACAAATCATACAAAATTACTTCCAAAACAACAGGTGATGGGAATCATTTCAGCTTATTGAAAAAGAAAAAGAATTGAATTTAATAGTTAGTACAGATGTAGAATAGTTCAACTCACTTTAAGTGTTTGACAGTCAGAGATTTACAAGTATGATTACTGGCATTGTGAATTTAGCTATATGCAATATATAATAATGAATCTTAATGGGAAGAAATAGACTAACTCAAAAAATAAAAAACCCTGGTTCTGCATGCACAATCATTGAGACAGTTACATGTTATCTAGATATAAATGCACTCTCATACTTCCTTTTACAATCTCATGAATTATAAATTGCATTAAAATATTGCCATGTGATGATATATAACATTCCCATGAGCGTATGCCCCTATAGAAAAGATGTATGCTCATATGAAGAGATGTATTAAAAATTGGAATTACAGTA